TATACGAAATTAGGTAAAAAACCCAAAATCGCCATATTCAGGTGCCTTAAAAACCATGTTAAAATTGAGTTAGAGATCTGAAACTTTGCAGGGCGTCTAGACCTTGTCCAAATCGACTGTAAAAAAAATGTCATGTTTCAGGAGTATCGGGAAGTGGGTTTTCTGGAACCCCTGTTTTACAACAGATTGTCGTGAAGATATATATGTATGTATAGACGCTTTTTGCAGTCAATTGTAGCCTACATTTAAGTGTCCGTAGATTCAAAAGTATAAACGATACAGTCATTTCGAACCACAGGTTTTAAAGATAATTGTTTAAGCTTTAGTTTACATTGTATTGAAAAATAATTTAACGTCATCATCATCACTTGATGACGTCATCAAGTTAAGTGTTTTTAAAACTTGACTTTTGACAAAGTAACAACTTTTTTAATCGATTTTACACTATTAAGGAGTAATTTTACTCAAAATCTGAGGACATTTTCATCTTAGATAATTGTTCAAGCATTCCGAAAATCTACCGGAATAGTTTCCTACCTTGCTCCTTCATAAAGATATTTGCTATTGAAGTTAGTGCTTTTTTGAAGAATAATTTTATAAAAACACAAAAGTTGTGAATTAGTATTCTCTGGTGTTGGGCCATCCCTTGGGTTGTGGAGCTCAATTTTGCTTCTTAAAGGTGTAAATTGTGTTATAGGCTAGTTTTAAAGTTAAAAATCGAAAAGTTGCACACGTGGGGACACGCCCAAATTCATTTAAAATCGCTAAAATCGCTAAAAATTTTGATTTTCACGATTTTTATCAACTTTGGAGTCCCGCTGTGATCCAAGTTCTTTTTGAAATCTTCTGAAACTTTGCATGCTTATCAAACTATATATTAAATACCACTATGCAAAAATTTACGGTGATTCAATATTGTATGCGCACGCGACGTCCGCTCAAAGTTTGCACGTGCGAAAGGTGAGAAATTTGCTCATTCGTGATTTCGAATATATTCTGCTTTCCACGATATTTAAATGGCATTATATATGAATTTAATGCCAACTTGAATGAGTAAAAAGTGCCATATTCAGTCGGTTATCGACAGAAATACCTAACTAAACACAAGGAAACGTTTTCAAAGGCAGAATTTCGAAATCGTCGAAATTACCTCCTTGTTAATGAAGTTTCGACTAGCTGTGTAAATTATCCTGACATTATAATCAAAAAGAGATGATATTTGACCAAAACCCATAATCATGGGTAGAGTGTACCGCTGCCAGTGTCTCTCTTTTCCAAACAAAAGGAAATGATATTAATTTGAGGAACAGTCCGCTAATGCAAATTGATACCGAGAATGAAATCGGTCGCTCGCTTTTTCCATTCGATCACGGCTTACGAATTGTAATAAAGCTTATTGATTTGAAAAAGCGAGCGACCGATTTCATTCTCGGTATCAATTTGCATTAGCGGACTGTTCCTCAAATTAATATCATTTCCTTTTGTTTGGAAAAGAGAGACACTGGCAGCGGTACACTCTACCCATGATTATGGGTTTTGGTCAAATTATGACATAAGTATTACTTGATCTTTTAAATCTAATTGCTGTCATAAAATGTAAATTAGTACGACGATAAATATTCCAATATTAACAGTCTAAAATATGTAAACAATGTCAGCCCTGTATGCTCAGGAGAGTGTTACTACTTTTGATATCTCAGTATCTGTGAACCATGCAGAATTGTAGCCTTCTTAGTCCAAATGGTACGACGAAGAAAAATCTCGGTAATATTTAAGCTGAAACCATTCTATGAGTAGGCTACACAGAGGTGTAACAAAGGGCCCCTACCCGCTGATCTGTTATGCGGGGGGGGTCTATGTTCTAGAATTTCAGGCCTCTTTGTACGAGAAACGGTTCAATTTGACTGACTTTTTACTATGTAATATCACGCCCAACTTAGCGTTCGGTCGAAGCTGGAAAAAATTATTGGGTGGGTACCAAAAAACTGACTGGCCGGGGGGGGGGGGGCAAAAAAATACCTGACTTTTAAACAATATCTTAGGTCGCTCTTTTCTACATACTGTATATAAAGTATGAATTCTGTGTAAAAAAGTTAATACAAAATATTTCATTCTTTACTTAAAAAGTTTCTTACCATTTTCAGTTAAGCTGGAACATTCTGTGAAAAATAGACTTTTTACCTGAATAATACCATAAAGTTCGCAGACTAGTTTATTATTCAATGCATATCTTCGCAATTCTGTTCTACTGAATCTAGTTTTCTAACAAACATTTACATTCCTAGATTTTTAATTTTATTACTATCTGGATATCAACAACAACCAACATAATGGTGACCAACTGACCACTGACCATAACCCTGATGATTGTTAAATAATTGAATTTGTGGAAACGGCGGTTGGTTATGAAAATAACACATAATTTGGTGCTTTCCATGAACTGTCTCTGGACACCCATAGGCTAAAACTGTTAACACAGTGCGAGGTGTGGTAGTCAGAAATATGATAATAAACGTGACAAATCTTTTGAGCGGTATATTATAATTACTTCAAATTTAGCACAGAGAGCAGGAACAAAACCTCGGGGTCTTGGGATGGTCAGAGTAATTGTGATTTAATTGAATCTCACAGTAAAGAATGAACGTATTTAGGCCCCTGAGGTGTTGTTAAATTAGCAGCACTAGAATTATTATGATATTGAGACTAGGAGCCCTCTAAAGTCAACTACTCTAGAAATGAGCAGGTATGGGGGCTGCCAAGCCTGAGGGAGAGGGAATGGAGCTGCACTCAGCACTGCAGTCCTGATTCCATTACAAGTGCACAGGACCTGCCCCCAGGCCCATTGGAAATCAAATTTCATGACATTAAAATTAGTTGTTTGTATCTGGGCTACCTGGTGTTCGGTAAGTCTCATGAGTCCGATCTCCCGCTGGCGGGCGGACCTTTTGCTGACTGCTCTAAACCCAACTAATCAACCACTTGTCCCGATCTCACAGCCGAGCCGCCTCTTTTGCTAAAATAACAAACGTGTCCCCCTTTCACAGCACATATCCTTGATTGGATGAACGGTTTCGGTAAAATCAAAGCCACGGCTGATACAACTCTCCCAAGTAAACATGGTTAAATTAGTATGATGAATTAAAATGTCCTTTTCTCAAGTAGGTAGCCGGTAGCTAAATCTCATTTGTGGCGGGGCCGATCCCCGGAATACCCAGCACAATAACTTTAGGGCATCATGGAGAGCAGCCTGCCCTGCATCATTACTCCCAGCAACTCGTAATTGATGAAATTGAAGTTAGGTCACTACCCAAATTTCTATTCATGCTAAACGTTTAGAGGGAGAGCTGGTGAGTGAGAGAGAGCGGGAGGAGGAGGAGTTTGAAACAGAGTGAGTGAGAGCTGAGTAGGCATCAGGCAATTAGTGAGCATCCTCCCCACTCGGCTAGCACCTCAGTCGCCCCTGAGGGAGCTGTCAGAACCATTAGGAGTAGAACTCTCCCACAGGGCTAGAATCCATGAATACACATTCTGAGTGAGTGAACAGTCAACCAGGTGAGAGGAGGAAGTGCTACAGAGTATCCAGCCCTGACAAACAATAGATCAGTAATCATTACCATGGAAACGTGCCCAGTAATTGTTTGAGAGCACTTGTTCTGGAGCCGTATCGTGGGATCTGGGGCCACCTGACAGGAGCCAACTCCCACAGTTCCCGACCTGCCCCCACTACCTGACCACCGGACTGATTTTTAGCCGTACGTCCCCCCCCCCCCCCCCCCCCGCGTCCTCCTCCTTCTTACGTATCTCTCTTCTGACAACAGGTCTCCTCTCCTTTTTCTTCGTCACCTTTTAATCCTATTTTTCCAGTTCACACACATACACTTTCTCAACACCTTGATTCTCCTCCTTCAATTCTGCTTCCCAAAATTTCCCCATCTTTTTAATTCTAGCGGGACGCTCTTCTCTTCTCTACCGCCAACTAACTTTAAGGAAAACTAAACTTGGTTACTTGGCACACGAAACCGAATAAGATTTTAAAACAGCACTTGTACCTATCAATGGTGGTTGAGTTTATTCTTGAAATCATCTCACAATCAGATTTCCTTCGAGACTAATCTCAGAACGAAATGTTCACAACTTGTTGAATATTCCGTAGGTCGCGACGTCTGGCAAGAGAAAGATGAGTACCCCAAACTGTGATGTGAGTACGGGTTGAAGAGAGGTGTAGTGAATGTTCAGAGAAAAAATAATGGGTCAGACGAGTGATTCAGTGGTGCTGACTGGCACCTTTAACAAAATATGTGTAGTGTGTACCACTGGCTCGTGTAGAGTTGGCCACATTTTATTTATACTTTTATAATGTACTTTCAAGGAAAAAAGTAAAGCAGGTTAGCGAGGCGGTATTGCTTGTTAGACTTAGAGCCACCCATATTTACTCTCATCATCACCAAAAACTTTAAACTTCGATCTGACATTAAGAAACAGTCAATAATTACTAAATTCACCAGTCTGCCTCAATATTACCGTAGCAACTACCAAGTGGCAAAGTCTGATAAAAATCACATTTATTCAGAAAAAGGAAACTCTATTACTCTAAGAGTTTCAGCCATCAAGGAGCCCAATTTTGAAAATTTGTCGCCGGAATTGACGCCTTATTTACAGACCACCCCCACTGCCTCTTGCACAAACCACTCTCTGATCAAAGACACCTCGCCCACAGACCAGTCACTACATCTTCGGCGATTATACTCGAATTAAACGGGGATGGAAATAAACAGTAGATAAATTTCAAGATAACGCACTGATAGTTTCAGTGTTTCACGGAATTCTCTTATCAGCAAATTATCATAGGGTCTGACTTCCTAGATTTGAGAGATAAACCCAGCTTATTTTCGCTAGATTTATTTGTAGGCATATACTCATTTTTAAATTTAGGTTTTGGCAACTGTTACAACTTTCTCTGTTCACTGCTCAGATTTCTATTTGTGCTCCGATTCGTAAAGATGACCAAAGGTGAGTTAGCCTTACATTTTCGGCTTGACTTCCAAATATAAAACAAGGCTATCAGGTTATAAGGAAAACTGTTCGAGTAAGCTTTCATTTTTTGCTAATACATTTTCATACCCACAACCACTTTACTAGTACCGAAAGGTCAGAAAAATTGGTCTTTAAATATTTAAGGAGGAAGTTTATAGTCAGTAGGTACTTTGTTCAGGCGCAAATAGCGCCTCACCTAATTTAGAATGACTCTGCCAATTTTAATTTTAATCCAATCCTATGATCAAATTACGGGCAAATTAAATTAAGGCTCGAACCTGAACACGATATTCCAGACGAACATCGACAATCGACTTTCGTCTACACTTTTACAGCATTAGTCCTGAAAAGATATTATTATAGAGAGAAATTACATAGGAATAAAATCTGTTTCGGACATAAAACAGGGTGGCCCGAAAGTCATTGTGCACTTGCGTAGTCCTTGGCTCGAGAACAAATTCAATTGAACTATCCAAATGCCATATTCCCAAGTTACCTCCCACTCCTTTTGCTGATGTAATTCTGGGTTTCAGCCCATACCACTGTAATCTTGCGTGATACAATCGTTTAGGGAGAAAAAGCACAATAGCGTCAGTCGAATCGAGCGTTTCTGAAAACAAAGAACTTGTGAGAATTCTGATATCGACCTTCACAGAAACTGAAAGAATTCCAACAATTTTCTTTGGCTTATTTTCATGATACAATCGGAAGTGAAATATGGGTAGGTGCTGCTTTTCATTGTAATACATTGCTAAGGAACTAGTGGTCAGACTTTAGCTGAAGTGCCTTAGTTTGGTTCGTTAGTTAGCGACAGACTGCCGAGTTAAGGCACTTTGTGTCTGCACAAAGACCGACACACAACCGTCTTCACGTCAACGGAAATTATTACTCCCACTATGTCCACAAATTACGGCACTTCTTCGGAAAATGAACTTAGAATTAATAGCTTTCCCCTGGAAAGCTGGGGCCCAAAAACCGTGCCTTTTAGGGGTTTACTGCTGTAATCTTTTTATTTAAAAAACCCTCTGAAATTTTGCCCTTTCGTGCCCTTTTGGGGAAATTTATTTTTAGGTGAAGTTTTTGCAGGAAAATTCGAAATTTTTTCCGAAAAACGGTTTTTTCGAAAAAACTGGCTAATGAACAAAACACCATCCATATGAACATCTATTGCGAGGGAGAGAAACACTAAACAGAAAAAATCGGAATGAGAGCGCAGTTTGAGGAGCGGGGTGAACGAGAGGACCAATACGAGCCGCTTTTGGGAAAGAGTACACCCTATCACGCATTTCGAAAGCAGCAGTATCGAGTAGACATTGCGTACTTCTCACGTGAGCGCCTTTCCCCAACCCCTTTAATTCCCCAAACTCCCTTTCCCTCTTTGGACAGCATTCCAGTGTCCCTTTTTACCTGAAAGTTACAACTGACAAACGTTTAACGACCACGGGCGCCCAGTCCTACTCCCCCGTGACATCTTTAAAACTTTTTTTGGGGAAAACCGGGGCCCACCCTGACTTTATTTTCTTACTTGAACATTTTAAGATCGTTTCTTGTCGACTTTTGCCCTTAAAAATTTGTAAACATCCCGGAAACAAAAGGGTATACGACACTTTTTGAAATGAACATTTTCCCCTAAAAAATCCAAAGGAAAAGGTACACATCTCTACTTTAAATTTTTTAAAAGTTATTTCACAATGCACCAACACACATCAATATCAATACAGCTATATTTTACTGCAGTACCCGCATGATTCAGCGAGGCTTTTACTGTACCGATTTCAAAATAAAACCTTATTTTTTGTACAAACTTCAGCCTTATGCAAAGTGACAAAAAATGAATAAGCTAAATACAAATTATTTAATCGTATGCCTGCAGCAAGGCAACAACTACAACTTCAACTTAATCTTTGCGATCATACGTGCATCAGCAAATATTTTCTTCTTTGATCCAATATTTTTTATCAGGCCTTGCAACATTTTGCTTCAGCTAATAGTAACTTCACATCCTTCCTAATTCCCAACCTTATTTGTAATTTTAATCCCCAATATCTGCTTTAAAAAAGCTAACGCCTGCAAATTTTCAAATACAATTTTCTCTAAACAATCTTTCCAATCCTAGAAATGTGTCAGAAAAATATGTTTATACAGATCCATGTTAAGTTTGAATGCAGAAGTCTTCTAAACTTCCAATTTTATTTATAACGGCTATCATCTGAATTTTCCAGCTCAACCTATCATAGGAATAAATTCTACAAATAATCTCCTAAACACAGCAGCAATTTTAAAGCAAGTAAATAATAATTTTTAAAATTTCAAATTGTGGAAACCTCGTTTTTTCGGGCCAAAAAATTTTTCAGGGTTTTTTAAAAGGTTTCTCATCTCAAAAAATTTTTCCCTCCCCTTTTTAATTTAAAATTTCCCAAATCAGAATCCCTGAAAATAAATTCAATTTTCCTTTGTTTTTTAAAAACTTTAAAAATGATATGCGAACCATAACACGGCGGTTTTAAAAAAATTTTGAAACCCTTTCTTTGAGCCCAAAAATTTAAATATTTCATACTAAAAAAATTTTTTCCAAGGGTTTTTTAAATGAATCAAAAAATTTTTTGGAAAGGGAAATTGGCCCAAAAAAAGGAAACCTTTTGGGACCCTGCGCCCTTTTGCCAATTCTATATTAAAATTCGAGTACATTTTAAACTGTTCAATACTGATTTTTTAAAAATTCATATTTCCTGGCTTATTTTTTAAATATATTTAACCCCATTTTAAAACTTAGGCCTGAAAAATTTAGTCACGATCGAGGACAAAAACTGTGGAGGGAACAGTGGCAGTGAATAAAATAGCGCCCTTAGGCTAGCGAATAGGTATTCCCGCCATTGACCATCATGCGCTAGTTTGCTCAATTTTCTCCACCTTTGTTTAAAACGCTTCGATCTCTCGTGTATGCTATGATTTTAGGTGAGTTTTGTTGATTTCTGCTGGGCCGTCCCACTCGAATGTTTCACGGTAAATTCTGCAACTGCAAGGCAGGAAAATGGGCCCAAATCGCTTGTCGTTTGAAAATAGGCAAATTTGTCTGTCTTCTGGCCATAATCAAATTTAAAATTGTTGACCCAATATAAGCCATCTTTCCCAATTAAAAGAAAAATTATGCCAGTTGGGAATATGGGCCTTATTTGTTTGTAATTCGACAATTAGCAATTTTACCGGGTTTTTGTAGACATGATATTTTCAATTGTTTCGATATTAGCTAAATTTTTGGCGGTCTTAGTGATACTGAGAGAATTTGAACTAGGAGCTTAATTCTAGGTGTTTCTAAAATTTTCCTTCAAGTTGCAGCGATAAATTTTTCGAATGTACGCAGAATTTATTTGAAAGATAGTTGATTCATTATTTGTGCCACGAAATCTACAAAAATTAAGCCAGGAGTGTTGATAAGATCATAATTTGCCCAATTAAAATAAATTTAAATATTATCAAAATTATTCAAAATTTTAACCTGATAGCAAATTATGATTCAACGTAATTTATAAAAAGAATGCAAAAAATATTTCCAGCCATAGGATAAGATTTTTCATCCTCACACCTAGCTTTATGCACAATCCATCTCAATCACACATAAAATTGTGATATATTTCAGTTGCTTGATTTTTGTCTTCCTCGCTCCAGTCTGACATTTCCCCCAATTTTGACACCTAGTGACCGTATTATAATATTATCCTGTTTCAGAAAAACGTTTCCTGTGTAACGTGTGCTGCAAACAGTTCCAGCACAAAGGAAATCTAAACTCTCACATGAGGTCGCACACTGGGGAACGTCCTTACAGTTGCGATGTTTGCGAGAAAAGGTTCTCAACTTCTGGAATACTCAAAACACACATGAGGACACACACCGGGGAGAAACCTTATCTCTGCGATACTTGCGGCAAACGCTTCTCTCACATCGGCATTCTTAAGGTGAGATTTTGTCTTGTCACCGAGCATTTGTTATAGTTGATTTATTTTCTTATAATTTTTTTGATTTTTAGTCTAGTCGTTCGCCCTTTGTTTTTTGTTCTGCTCGAATTTGCAATCTTTTTGCTTTGGTTTCCTCGAAATGAGTGTAGATTATTATTCGCTTCCCTGGACACTCTTACATATTGATATCTGCTCTCCCGAAAATAGTAGCAATTTGCTTTTGGATTTACTTGGCTTAAAATAGGCAAATTTATCAGATTGAATTTCCTACTTTGTTGATTTGCTTTGCTTGAAATTGGGAACATTATTTATTTACCATTTGATTCAGATATCTGCCATATCACCTTAAAACATGGCACAAATAATATCCTGGAGGGGGATTATTTAAAACATAAAAGTGATTCAAAAAGTTTGTTTAGCAGGAGCTTTCAAAATTCATTTGTAAATCGTCTTTAGCTGTATCGCCGTAATTATTCCTTGAATTTTCTCACGAAATTTTATTTTAAATTTCGGCAACGGCTTTGAATATACTGAATCACACATTTGGCTTAAATTTCATTTTCTGTTCTTTTTCGTTCATATCTTTTTTATTTACAGTTGCTGGAGGTAAATTTGTATTTACTCAGCATGATATTTATCAGCGTAGCCCTCAGAAGTTTTGACAATTTTTTTGTACGGCCCAGTTTGCTTATCCCTATTTTTCGTTCCGATATTTTATTTTTAAATATTTTCTAACGTAGTGTTCATTTTCAGAATCACATGCTGACACACTCTGGTGAGCGACCACACAGATGCCCGATACCAGACTGCGGTAAAGACTACAGCCGGGCTGCTAACCTCAAAATCCACATGAGATCACACACAGGTCAGTTTTTAGCCTAGCCTCCCTAATTTTAGCGTCAAAATTTCTCGGTGACGACTCCTCGCACGCCATGTGCTGAAAATATGAACTTTGTTGCGATTTTGCGGAGGAGTTTACGCGGGAACCCTTAGGGCGAGTCGTTTGTACTCAGGGTCAATTCTTCGCTCATTAAGAAGTCTCTAAATAACTGCTCCGGGGTTGAGCGGTCATTGCATCCACGAATAGTAATTCTATTAGGTCAGCACATCAGTTCAACCTGCTCTGTTCCTTTCAACGCGCCAAAACTCGCACATTTTATTTACCAAATATTTTTTCAGGTGAACGTCCATTCCGATGTGAATACCCGAAGTGTGACTGGACTTTCGTATCGAATGCTGATCTGAAAGTGCACATGAGAACACATTCAGGAGCTAAATCCTTCACCTGTAACGTGGAGAACTGCAAGAAAGAGTTCCTTTACAACCAGGACCTCAAAAACCATATCCTCTCGCACAAAGAAATCAATATGTAAGTATTGCGCACTGATTTATTGCGCCTCGCAACCTAGTCACGTACGGTTTTATTTTCCGTTTTTGTAAAGATAGTTTATATATTTTTAAAACAGTGTTTATTTGATCATTTTCAATCAATTCATTATTAAACAAGCGCCGATTTGTCATAATATCCCGACTAAACAGCCATTATCTTCAGGTCTATAACCGATGACTGCAACTTCCCAAGACCCCCAGATTATCAAAACTATACCCGAAAGAGCTGCCAACTACGACTGGATTTCGCTTGAAAGTAAGTTCTAAAACTAAACTAGTCCATTGAAACTCAGTAATTTAATAATATGCCCAATTTTCAACAGAAAGAAAAGAACCCCATTGTTCTATGTAAGACTTTCGTAAATCTTAATATTGTAAAAGAAATGTACGTTCTGATCCGATTTCTAACCAATCACTATCTTCAGGTGAATTCAAGAAGATTGAATCCTTTGGAGACTGTCAGAAATCCCACTCTGGACTAAAACCCTACTCCTGTTCGATCTGCTCTCACAGCTTCTCGACACTGTCGAAACTGAAGCAGCACATTAAAGAGCACGACACAGTGAGCGAAACCCGACCTTACAAATGCACTGACTGCTCCAGAAAGTTCTCTCAGCCCCGCAACATTCACAGACACATGGTGCTGTCTCACGGCAAGCCGGAGACTACTGGACCCTTCACTTTAGCTCTGATGTCACCGGAGAGGATACCCTTCACTGACAAGAACTGTCAAGGAGAGCGAGGCAGGAAGCGACCACTGGAAGAGCTCCATAAGTCTGCCTTCACCCCGGTCGCCAAGTCTCCCAATACTTCTCCTGACGGAAAGCTGACCCCACCCGCCAAGGTGTGTCGTAATGGTAACCCCACCAAACTGTTCATCACCAACGTGAAGAGTCTGCGAGAGGAGAACCCGTTCCCAGACATCACACCACTTGACTCACCGGACTCCGGAAAACTAAAGATAAAAGAAGAGAAGAAGTCGCCCCGTCACCACCCCTACACCAAACCTTCTCCAACGAAGACCAGTTCTAGACAACCCCCTAGACTGGCTCCTAAACCTCCGCAATACGCCATAGTGCAGGCTGTAAACCTCCCTACTCTACACGCCTTCAATGTCAAGATAGAGAGACAAACCAGCTCTCCTCCAGCAGCAGTAACCAGCGCCCCACATGTAGCAGTCCCAAAGTCTCGACCAGTAACCAGCTCACACACAGCAGTCTCCACTGCCCAACCCTCTCCTCCAGCCAGGATTCACACTCCGGAGACCCTGCATTCGATCACAATGGTGGATCAGATCAGGTACGCCGCTGTGATGACGTCATTCGACCACTTAGTGCAAGGGTATCTAGCTCACAGGACCTACCAGTCTCTAAAGTGCTTCTACAAGTGCCTGACGACTGCTAAACAGTCCGTGGAGTTAGGGACAATGCCATGGTGAGTGCAACACATACCTGTACCACTTGCTACAGTGGTTACAACGACAATGTGATCAACAGCTGATGAGACGAGATGTGCTAGTCCTGCCCTGTCTGCAGCACAGGTTACTCAACACGAAGAAAGAAGATTGAAGAAAGAAGACACAATTTGAAGAAAAGAAGAGAAGAAAGTAAAGAATAAAGCTGATATGTTTATACGCAATTTACCACCGTTTTGTACCATGATATTTTATGAAAGAGCACATGTTTTGTACTCTGATATTACGTACTCGGGTTTATTGGACACTCATCATTTGTTTTATACATTTTTATTCGGGCGGATCGCTTCAAGAGCTATATTGTACATATTAATTATCATTTATTATACTCCTTTTTAATTTATCAACAAAATATTCGAATTGTCTTTCTCTTGTTACAGACCCTGAACACTCCAAACTGTCTGAAGTAAAACGCCCAACTCAAATTCAAGTGTGATATAATAGACCAAGCAAAAAGTTCCCCGCAAAATATGTCTTCATAATGAGCCCTTATCTGATAACGTGCCCTTATATCTTAATTCCTCTGCATTGTCTAACAAAATTTCTCCCAATAAAACCTTCATGTCAGTACAATCTTTACTGTTGCAAACAAACATTCTCCCACAATCACCCAGAAGACCAATGTCTCGAGAGTTTCTGATTTTGCCCTAAATTTAAGAAATAAGAAGGAATCCTCCAGTCTGACAACACTGCAGTGATGATGGATCGTCTAAATATTACGTAATATAATTGGCAGAGAGTTAGGAAATGCTTACACCATGAGTGTTATTTCTACATAAGATATGTGTAAAGTGGCTGAGGGAGTTTGAGTTTAATGTGGACAAATTCTGGCTTACGCAATGACAGATTCATAATGCTCCTAAAACTGTGACAAAAATTGGACCAACCGTACCCAATATTGGAATAAACTATAAAAATAAGGAACCTACAAAACGGTCAAACTAACTCCTTCTGATGCCCGTAACTTGCTACACCGCTGCCCAATTATAAATTTTATGGAGGTTACCCGATTTCCCAAAATTTACTCCTTTTTTGGTTCATCGTTCCTACTATCACGCTCTTTGTAAAATTGGACTAAATCGTCATCCATATGAGAAAGAAAGAACATCCTTAAAGATATCAGATAGTATCGTGTATGTTCCTCTTACAGAACACTATTTACACTGAAAGAAGGTTCTGTCTTCTACCATCACGGACAAAAACTGATAGTTGTAATATTCCTTAAAAATTGGTTTGAATAACTCGTGCGTTCATAAAATCTACAACGCGCGCCATTTTATTTTCTCGTGCGCGCGGTGATATGTACTTTTATAATTTCGCGTTTTCCAAAAATGTCTGTAGAACGTGTAGCTTCAGAGGGTGTATTCTCGATCACTGCCCATGTCCGTAGTTTCGAACTGTCGTCTGTCGTGGTTAAAAGTAGATGAACTATGAAAGTTGGACCATGTTACAACGTTACATAGTAAGTACTGGTCCTATACTTATTTCGTTTATAGAAATCAGCATCCGAAGACAGCTGACAGCTCCAACCAGAATGGGATGGAATATGGATAGTCAGGAGACTGCTTACTACTAAATCTAGATTTAAAGGCATTATTGAACAAAACTGTGTGGATTGCATCTGGGATCTGATTTTTCACATACTCCTGTTTAAATTGAACCCATTTAGAAGTGTGACGAAGAGTGAAGATTGTTACTGGCAACTTACCAGAAACACTTTATATGAGTCACCTTGTTCTTTGAAGGAATGTTCTAGAGATGATCTGCTCAACAAGGGGCTGCCCCGCCATGACTGTCCTGTTGTAATCCCTGGTTGGGTTATTAGCTGTTAGTTAGAACAAATTACTTATACGGGTGTCTTTTACTTATTTTTAGTAATTCAAAGATTTCCCCCCCCCCCCCCCCCCCCCCCCTTAGTAATTCAAAGATTTCCCCTAAGTTGCTCATATCAATAGGTGGTAAGAATGTAAGAACTACGAACTTAGTTAATCAACTAAAAAGTTTCTAATTCACTGACATAACATTAATGCGATGACGGACTCTATTTACGTATTTTACATACTTGTTGAATTCTGGGTTTTCACTTTGAATTACTCCTTGTATTTTGATTTGTGAATATCTTCGAGATAGAGAGCCGGGTGGCTCGCTAGTTGAGACTGGACCAGACTGGCTGATAACGTCTACAACTACAGTTTCTGTTCTGGTATTTATAACGGCAGGAGGGCAGGGCAATGCTAGATAGCTTACATCCAATAGTCCAATAGAGTGACTGTTTAAAAATGCTTAAGTCTCAGAGCGACTCATAACGTCTCACAAGGGCTCATATCGGCTTACAAAGGCTTATATCGTCTCAAAGTTAATACTTTGCTAAATTACAGTGAGCACGTGGTGTTGAGCAGCTGTTACCATGCTGCAATATACTACGTCCGGGTTTCCGAATATTCTAGAAGGTTATGGATATTCTATGAGTACGCTTATATAGCTTCACAACTCAACTTATACATTCGTAACAGTTGATTAACATAACATAAGTTTGTATTATGTATATTACATGTTGTTAAATGTTTATTTTGGTGTTGAATGAGAGCGAGGCTCTGTTCTCTTTTACTAATTGTTTTACTAGCTACAATCCGCTTTCAATTCATTAATTTCTTCAGTTTTTTTCCGTATATTACCACATCTTTAAGTTAATGATATTAAGTTTAATCTTATTAACTTAAGAAGATTTTTACAATTTTAGCGTAACATTGTCAAGCTATGTATTAGTTGCATTAGTGTAGTGATATTTCTTAATTGATTTACTTTTACGTAACTTAGCAAATGTATTCAAAGAATTTTCTTTAAGTTGTAGAATCCCGCACCAAAGTTTAGCCGTGATTCAACTTTTTAAACTATAAGCAAATTAACAAGGATCAAATTGATAGGCGGTAACAACTTAACAATGTAAGAACTATGAACTTAGTTAATCAATTCAATAGTTTCTAACTCCCTGACAGTTCATTATACTAATGTAATGACAGACTCTATTTACACATTTTACATATTCAACTCATACATTCTTAACTTAGTTTATATAATATGTCATGATGTTATGTTTATAATGGGCAATATTCATAACAATTCAATCAATGTAACATTGAATCACTATAAATGTAAATGCTGTAATTTGAGCTGTTTATTATGTTAGTTTATATTTTATAACCGGTTTATTATGTTTGAGTCACTTCCGCGTTGGCTGCCTTAATTGTACAATGTATCTTATTTGGCTAGCTCTTGTTTTATCAGTCATTAACTTTACCTTTCCTATAAATTGAAAACTTCTAGTTATCAAGAAATCAATCCAAATCAATCCAGTTTGAAATTTTATTAGACATAATATTTATATCGTGAGACTTAGATTGAGTACGATAATCTTAAGACCTTGTAGATTCAGTAACTAAATTAAACGAAGACGGGCGATCGCCGATCAGTTTGATCATTGTTTTAGTCGCACTACTAGAAAGTGACATTGTTGTATTACATTTGCATCTGTAGGACATCATACTAGAAACCCAAGTGTGATCAGTGACACTGCTACAAACAGAACTGCAGTTCTATAATACCGCTAATACTAACTTTGGTTTATTAATTCACTCTCCTCACTCCTGGAGACCTGGATATTGTTGTCTGACTTGTGTAATGCACATAACAAAAATTTACTACACTCTAAGTTCATATCCGCCTATGCTTTCGTTTTTCCGATTTTGATAACATGTCACCAGCCCTTAAGACAGATTATCAACTCTCAATTTTAACCACTCTCAGAAGCTTACCGTCAAGTTGGCTCCTTACCATGAGAATCTTTGTTAATATAATATGTTATAATATGTTAATATATGTTTTTATTAATCTAGCATCAAAAAATAATGTATTAGCATAATATATTGGTTATATATTGTTGGTTAGCTGACATCTAAAGTTTTTAATGTACACAAAATTAAGGGCGAATATGGATGATCTTGAACAGAAAGGAGAGGAGATATTTAATACCTACTGTTCTTCAAGTGATAAAAGTCCAGTGATGCTACCAAGAGCACCAAAGCAGAAGTATCCTGATATTTTTCCAGAGGATGACCAACCAGGAAGTAATATTCAAAATCGCATAATCCAACAAGCAAATTATGAAGCCGAAGTTGTTGTCTATAGGGTGCTGGAAAACGTGAATGAAAATATAATAGTACTTCACAATTTCGAATATACGCACCACCTATACAGATTATGTGACAAAACTCATGAAAGAAAAGGATGTGATTTATGCAAGAAGAGAGCAAACGCTATACATGGTGAATGTGATTTCTTGATAGTATGTGGGAATAGTTTTGTCATAATTGAAGTTTAAAATGTGTCTCCAAACAACAGTCCTGAAGTCAATCAGGAAGGAAGATTAAGTGGTTCTTTCCGTAACTCCCTTGAACAGAGACACAAAATTGAGAAACTGATAAAGGCTATCGACAAAGACGCCAATGTTCAGCAATTCACTGCTTTTCCTTCTTGTAGCAATATATATAAAGAACACTTCCACGCCACTGATGCTGAAATCGAGACTATGATATTCAAAGAAATCCTTGCTGATAATGACACTTTTAGTGCTTGGTGGAAGGAAAATGTAAGTTCCCCCGCTGAGACTAGAGGCAGGCCACTAAAATGCCATTTCAAAACTAGAAATGTATTACTTGCTATATGGGCTTCGGAGATCCAAGGAAAGAAAAAATCGGACGTGAACACACTGAAGTGTAGTTTAGCAGCAACAATTCATGACATTGATAAAGGGCTCAAAAGGGGGAAAATCACCTTCCTCTCTAGGAGACTTGATCAGAACCCTGGAGTTATTGAAGCTCCTCCTGTTATAAAAAAGTATTTGGAAGTTGAACATCTCAATGAACAGCAATATGATGCATTCATTTCAGCTGAGAAACTGTTGTGGATACATGGGCCTGCTGGGACAGGTAAAACTATTATCGTGTGTGGAAAAATGATACAATTAGTGGCACAATCTGCTGAGGACTGCAAAGCTGTAGTATTTAAGTTCAGTGGGGCAGGAAATAACTCACAGCTTTATCAAACTGCTTTAGTGGAATTACAGAAGGACAATGTAGAAATGAGGTATGACTATGAAGTTATACAAGCAGAACGAACACAACCAGCACCATCAAAGATTTCCTATACAATATTAAAGAAAATAAAGGACAACAAAGTGATCGTTATAGAGATAATAGGGATGGTTCGTTTGAAATGGTTAACAGACATACTAAGTAGACTTAAAGAGCTAAAATCTAACAAATGTCATTTCTTCCTGGACGATGTTCAAA